TTAACTGTCTACAGGGTTGACAATTTGGTAAGACTTTGTGCAGCAGTTTCCGATCAAGGGATGAGGCCGGAAAAGATTATCTGGAACGCAAACTAGACGGACATATAGGTTTCTCTTGTTAACGCGCTGCATTACAAAATTCTGACCACGAGGACTCAAATCTGCATCTGATGTTTACATTAACACATATAAACCTCTTAGAAAACTTTCACATGATTAAAACGAGATATGTTTTTAATCTTGTTGCATCTTGCTGGCAAATTTTTTACCTTCATGTTCACGTGAATGACCTAGATTTCATCAAATGCATGGGACAACCCTTACACTAAGCATAATTTTCTAGTGCAGCGCCTTCATCACGAACGTAGTTTTCTGGTGTTTGCTTATTCTGTGATAATCAGGACCTGTTGTCGATGCAGATTATGTTGAAAAGCAACAGCGTAAGAAACTCTTTCATTCAGAGATCGAGAATCACGCGCACATGGAGTATGATCAACAATCCAGCGATGGTTGATTCAAACACTAAGTCGAGGACAATATAAATCTAGGTCCATTCTAGACCATCATCACCAAAGCATCTCTCCTAGAACTCCCTTGCATTCATCCTTTTGCTCAATCTCTAGCTCCTACACTCTCCAGCCCCGTCATTGGCACCGTCCAAGCTGTGGGAAACACCTCGGGTGGCACCGACTATCAGCTTGAAGCCTGGACTAGCGGGAAGGTCATCCGCCAGATCCAAGTGTGGGACGACGGTAACAAAACCAAAGCTGTCAAGTTGTGGGAGACGGGTGAGACGGACAATGAAGGCCACCTCTACGGCAGCCCCGCTGGAAGCTCGTACACCTACACTTTCCAGCCCGGGGAGCTCATCACGTCCATGTCCCTCTGGCTTGGCGAATGGGATTACGTTGGTAAGCTTGCTCTATCACTTCTTCTTGGTATGCATTATACCTTGGCTCGTGCTTTTGGACGACCAGGTGATCGCTCCGGAGCTATCATGTTTACCACAAGCCTCGGCAATACTTTCCAGCATGGATACCAAGGTGGAAGCGCGACGGTAATCAATGTCTACTCCGGAATCCTGGTGGGAGCCGACATCCGTGCCGGTGACGACGTAAACGCATGGGGCTTTGCGTTCCTCAGGCCTCTTGTTTCGTGCCAGCTACTGGATGTCACGTATGGCGATCTTTCAATGGCGTCTGTTTCTCTTCAAAGTCTAGACAGCTATTCCACCAACGTTGCTGGAGACGGCTCCTTTTCAAGCTCTGAGCAGTCTAGCATCCAAAAGACCATCTCGAGCTCTTGGTCCCAGTCCGAGGGAGTCACGTCCTCCATGGATGTTACGGTCACTGCAACGATCCCAGAGATTGGAGAAGTTGGGGACGCGGGCCCCGGAACTAAGTACGAGTGGCAGGAAAGCGAGACATACACGTCGCAGGCATCGATCCAGGCCGTGCAAACGCTCACCTGGTCAGTGAACTGGACTCTCGTTGCTGGACAAAGCATAAGCCTCCAGGCTCAGACCCATACGGGGTCTATCAACGTTCCATACCAGGGTACCATGGTTGTCACCGTGGTAGCGAGCGAGACAACGGGTGATCCTCCAACGTTTTCGTTTGAGACTTTCAACTTCCCACAAAGTGGGACGTACACTGGTGTGTCTGTCACTGCGATTGAAGTTCCCATCACGGTCAGCTGATTAGCAACCATCAATGGAAATATAATGTGATAATAAGTTCAACCTTTTAATGTTATTGTTTCCGAGATGGAATGTGGTTACCCTAGCAGCTATGGTTCTTGTGGGAGCGGCGCTCGAGGCTTTGGATGCTCAAGACGCGGCGACCAAGGTACCACTTTGCTCAGATTTGCGAAGCGATTGCGTGTTTCTTGACTACTAAGTTGTAGTTGGCTTGGCTCTTGGGTCATCCCACTTTGGTAGCCGCCGCTGATGCTTTCAAGGCATCCCCGGCGATAGAGATCAAACAGTCCAGCACTCCGCGTTTCGTGTGTGTTTTGCAAAAGGAATTCGCGACCGCTACTCCAGAGTTTGTGGATGTAAGATTGATTTGGAAATAAGCTTGGTTGTAACTCCTTCCCTCTCTCTCTCTTTGTCTCGCAGTTTGTTGGCACAGATGATGCAACAACTTGTGTGGGAGTGGGAATCCGAGATCCCAAATCCGGACTGTAAGGATGCTCCAAGTTGGTGTGTTACGCTTCTGATGGCTTTGCAGAACAAGCATCGGGCATTTGGACTTTGCAGGCTGCGTGAAAGAAGGCCTCGCCCAAATGCTTTCTTCGCTTTTTCCGGACAAGGACACCATCCTCGAGGTGTTGTTCTTGAGTTTTTTTTCTCTTTCTATTTCCCCTGGTTTGTGAGTTGATTTCTACTGCTTGCCTTCTACACAGGTTCATATGGCTGGTGCTTACGATGATTCCATCGACATGGAGCTTGGAGGAGATGAGATGGGACACTCTTGGCCTCTGTGCCTAGAACTTGTTGAGGAGTTGCAAGCTCTGCCTTACAAGCTGGAAATCCGGACGCTTTGCATTCTCCGGCATAACACTGTCACAAGCGATGGGGGTTATCCTTGTCCTGCTGTGAGAGGCTTCGCGGTGAGCAAAGGTTCCATAGCTTCTTCTCTCTCTCTCTCTCTCTCTCTGTGTGTGTGTGTTTTATCAGTTCTCCTGGTTTCGCAGATCGAAACAAAGTCTGGACGCTGTGTTCCAGCGAGTTTTTCAGCTAACGCCAGTGGTCCGGACGAAATCATTCGAGCACTCTCGATGCTGGCGGGGCCGGCATCCAGGCTCCGGTCCCCGTATGACACCGAGTCGGACACTTTCTCGATCAAACCATTCCAGTGGTATCAAGTCTTCTTTCACCTCCGTTTCCATCTTTTTTTCATGGTTTCTTTCTACCTTTCCAGGAGCCGAGGATGGAAAATGCTCGCAGCGCAGTCGCTAGCTCTGTCTGATGCCGAGCTACTCCAGACTCGATCAACGTCTCCACACGCAGAGGGCCCGAGCTTCGTCACCTCCATCAGAAGGTAGTGCAAGAGCTCCTTTCCTTGACATGCATCTTTACCACCTTTCAGGATGGACGCTTATATTTACAACCATCCGGACTGGGAACACGCATTTCCAAACCGAGAGAGCCGAAGGTTCGTAAGAGATCCTGGAACTGGGAGATGGATGCGAGCGGAAGACCCAAACTCAAGAAGAGCTGCGAGCACAGCCAAAGCTTTATGGGAGCTCTCGCTTTGAAAACCACAGGCTCTTCGTCACCACATCCCGAGAGAGAGCTTTGCTACAACAGATTCTCAAGCGAGGCAATCCACGAAGTGAGTCTCGCGTTTACTTGCGCTGGTATCTCGTCGTGAGGACAGTGTCCGGCTTGGAGCTTCACGAGCGTTGCGTCGTTGTAAAGAGCTTGGATCTTGTCAGCTTTCGAAGACGGGGCCAGTGGATCCGACTCTCCCCACAGCACTAGCAGCGGACAATCCAAATCTCGCAGAAGTTTCTCCAGGGATAAATCAGATGGCTGGAACAAGAAGCGAGAGATCATCCTGTTCCAAGAAAAAAAAGCCATTTTTTTCATAGTTTTTCATTTCTTTCCCTTCTACGAACCTGTAAAACACCTCTGCTGCGTTTGGATCCGCGGCAGGCTCGAGTATAGAATCGATAAGAAACTCGTCCACATGGCTCTTGTCTCTATACACCTGACAAAAAATACAAACCAAACTTAAAGTATGAAAGAATGGATTCTTGGTTCTTGGGCTTACGTTGTTTAGTGCTGCCTGGATTCGCGAGCGTTGATTCAGCTGCTTGAAAACAAACAGTAGCGCTTCACGCCTTGCCCAGTCTCTAGCTTTAAAAAACGCCGGCCATCCAGCCGTGTTCTTCGTTGGTTTCTCGACGATCACCTGAGCTTTTCTACTCTGGAAACGACCAGCCGGGTTTACCAAAGCCAGTGCTGCGACGAGGTCGGGATAGAGCACTGCGGTCTGGAGAGAAGTAAGCCCACCAATGCTGTAAGCACCAAGAAACTAGAGAGTAGAAGAGAAAAACTATGAACCAAACTTACCTGTTTCCAACAATCACAGCGGGTCTCTTGACAACTTGCTTGACGAAGTCCGCGATCTGGCGGCTCCATAGCTGTGGATCATACTCGATCAAGGCCTTGTCACTCCACCCAAATCCCAGGAGGTCCAACGCAAAAACTTCGTGAGTTTTGGCAAGCTCGGGGATGTTGTATCTTGCAGCAAGCAAAAAGTTGGAGAAAAAACACTCTCACACACAAGAAAAGAGAGCAAACCTCCAGTGATAAACAGATGCTCCAAAGCCATGGACGAGTAGAATTGGCACTCCTTTATGGCCCTGACGAACGTAGTGAATCTTGTGCTCTTGCCACTGCCAGTAATTGTGGCCGCCCTTCTTGAGCACAAGCTCTGGAAGTTCTTACAGTAAAGTCTAAGTTCTTCCTTGGAGATCAAATACCTGGAGCACTGGAGACGAACTCTTGCTGCTTGTGTGAAGAAGAACACCTCAATCTATCTAGCCACAGCTCAGCATTGGGATGAAAGCTCAGCTAGATCCTTACCTGGATGAAACACTGCCACCGCCATCGCCATAGCCATTTCTCTTGGTATAAAAGAAAAGAGAGCAGCAAACTTTAAAACTTTAAAGGAAAGTTGGTTATAGAGTTTTTTTGTCAGCCACACCAGTTTAAGTTGCCACCCTTGTTCTCTACGCGCTCGTCCAGGCTGAGGCTCGTCCACTGGTAGCCGCCATGGAAATCCTTGCAAGACGCTGCGATGCCCTTGGAGCTCTGGCTCTCGCTCTCGGTGGCCATGTCTATGACTTCCAAGCCGTAGCAAGTCTGGTAGAATCCCGAGCCTGGAGTTTCTAGCGTCCCATTGTTGTTGGAGATGTGAAGATCCAGCGAGAAAGAGCTCGCCAAAGGGCTCGGGTCGCAGATGGCCCAGAGATTATCATAAATCGTGAAAATGTTGTGGCATGTTTGGGAAAATCCTCCGCAAGCCTGGAAACCAAGTCACGATTAAGTTTTTAGTGAAAAGAAGCTAAACAACCTCAATGCTCTTGAGCAACTGCAGCCCAATAAAAAGATCGATCAAGATCATGTTAGAAAATGGTCAGATGAACAAGAAAAGAAAAAAAGAAAAAAAGATCAGAAATAAAAGGCTTCGATCACTGCTTATACTAAGCAAACGATGGACTTACACATGTCAACCCTGTGTATCTCACCGAAGAAACATTGTCGTGTTCTTTCGATTGATCGAGGCCAGAGTTCCTAAGTTTCCAAATTTACGTGATGAATTCCCGATAAGTTATAACTTTGTTCGTATTGCCAGAGCGATAGCATTACTTTCTCGAGAAAAACCAAAGTAAGATACAAGATAGACAAACTCTGCCATGTACCTGAGATCTCGCAGCGATGCTCTGGCTCAAAACAAGCTCCACTTCTTGGCCTTTTTCTTCTTCTTTTTGGAGCTGTCCTTTGGCGAGTGGAGCTTTCCTCCTCCATCGTGTTCTTCTTCTGCGTTTTCGTGCTCCATCCTCAGGAGTTCCTCCAGGTCCGAATCCTCATCACTGCCTCCTCCCGCGGGATTTGCCAGTTTCTCGAGCCGAGCTGCGTCCTTGGCCCACTCGATGACTTGCTGAGCCTCGCGAGTCAGTCTCTCCTCCTCGACCGATGCCACCGAGAGCTCCTTCTTAAGGTTCTTCACGTTTAAGTCCCGGAGAAGGCCATCCGCATCGATCTCCTCCTCGTCACCACCTTCTGTTTCAAAGCTTCTGGCACTTCCACCTAGAGACTGGCTCTCCTTCTTCTGTTTTTTCTTCTTCTTCTCCAGCGAGACTTCGTCGGCCGCGGACGCTAGCAACCTGTTAACACCATCGTTCTCCACAGAAGAGAAGCTTCCTTCGTCGGATCGCGACTGGCTTCTCGTTGGATCTTTCTTCTTAGTCATGCTAAGCTGCTTCAGCATCTTCATCGGGGAGAAAGATCGGTTCTTGCTGGAAGAAGATGAGGAGGATGACGAAAGAGCTGAAGGAGACGACGAAACCTTGACCTGCTGACGCTGCTCCGGAGGATTTGCTCCATGAAAAGAGTGTGATTCTTGAGAACCACTTGATGGAGACTTGAGTGCCTTGAGCCTGTTCTCGAGCTCAACGGCTAAGACGTCTTCTTCCTCCTCCTCCTCTTCTTCTTCATGATCTTCCTCCTCCTGATCTAGAGTAAGATCAAGCTCTTGCTGTGAACGAGAAGATTTCTTGGCATGGATGTCGACACCTGTGTCTTTGCCTTGATGATTTTTCTTCACTGCTGCTGCTGCCGCTGGTGGTGGTGGTCGAGACTTGAGGTTCGCGAATCGAACGAGAAGATTACCCTCCAGCCCACCACCATCGTCCTGCCTTTCACCACTGCTAGGAGGGGCTTCGAATCCTTTAGCGGTCCTGTGACTAGTACCCACGGTGCTCAGCTTGAGCACACTCTCTTCTTGGAACTGATTCAGCAAGTTCTCTACTTCTGCATCGTCGGCATTGCTAGAATCCCTGTTATAAAATCCACCCATCTTGAGAAGGAAAAACCCACCTTGTCCTTGCTAGATTATCTTCTCCATCGCTTACACTACACGCATGAACCCAAGCCAGTGCTCAGTCTGAATCGCAGCTAGGCCCAGCCGTCGTCGTACAGCATCTTCTTGTAGCCACCACAATTGACGCTCGCTGCTCTCTTTTGGTGACATCACCGGACTAGCCTAATGGAGAAAAGGAAAGTGGTGTTAGTAAAATAGTACAGGAAGAAGGTAACTCACCTCATGCCATTGTATCATTGTTCTTCGACCACGCAGACTCTTTGGATGATCCACCTGCGAGCTCGAGAACCAACTTAGTGTCACTGGAATCGGACACAAGATAGCCTGGCTGTTCTTCACTATCCACGAGCTCCACTTGATATCCGGACGGGTAGCGCTTAAGAATAACATCCAGCTCTTCGCCGAACATTTCTTCTTTCTCCATAATCACCTGCAGGGGCACATGAGCCAAAAGAAAGAACCAAATTTTGAGGAAAGTAGCATACGTGTAATGCCTTCGTCAGTGCCGCCTTGTATGGTTTTAGCAGCGACAAAGTCTCGTCATAGGCTTTCTGCATTAGAGCTTTTGTGCGCACCGCTACATCCTCATCCATTCGAGGATCTATGGACTGACCGACGAGATCGTAATCGTTGTATAGTCCACCTTCAAACCAAGTTGGAGGCCCGAATTGTGAGGATCGTTCCCATGGCGATCTTTCACCATGCATTGAAATACGTCCGTCTACGTTCCATCTGCATAAGACGATGACTTAAGGCTAAAGCACTGCTCGTCGCTTACATAGAAAATATTTTTCGTGCTAGCCAGCTCGCGTCAGCTAGATACGCTGCAGACAATGTTGATGTATCGTGTCCATATATAAGCTCCTCCCCGATTCGTGCTCCGAGCATCACCTGCGCTTACCAACGGTGTTAACATCTACAATCAAGCCCGCAAGGAAAGATACCTTAAGCCGATGAATCAGCGTAGGACGTCGAGCAAAAAGATAGGCGTCATCGTCTAGAGTATGATAGATGGTTCTTGAGTATGTCTACACAATAATCACAATGTGGACACAATAAGTACCAGAAAAAGCTTTTGTATACTTGCCTTTCCACGAGGAACAATCGAAATCCTGTCACACGGCTCCACTTCAGCGTTCTCTGTAGACCGAAGAAGATGAGCCACCATTGCCATCCCTATTTCGATCGAAGCCATACGGCGGTGGACCGACTGTCGTCGTCCAACACCATATACTTCGGGGCCGATTGTAAGTCTGTCTACAGCAGTGTCAACATCGTGCCGTGTAATAGATTTATGGCCCTTTCTTATGGCGACCAAAGCAGACTCTTGCATAAGCTGAGCGAGCTCAGCGCCGCTCCATCCTGCGAAAACACGTTAAGGGAAATGAATTGCCATAAAAAGTAAAGTCAGCTGACTGACCGTTGAGACTCTTCGCGTAAGGCCACAGATCAACCGAGGAATCCAGTTTCACCTTTTCAGAATGGACCTTCAAAATCTCGTAGCGAGCGCTGGCCTTTGGAGGGCTGATAAGAATCTACAACACAAAATCATTGCTTGAAAACACAAAAAAGAGAGTGAACATACTCTTCGATCGAAACGGCCAGGCCTGAGGAGAGCTGGGTCAAGCATATCAGCACGGTTGGTTGCACCCAGAAATATAACACCTTTGCCGGTATCAAACCCATCCAACTCTATTAAAAGCTGGTTAAGCGTAGTTTCACGCTCTTGAGTTCCCGCATGGAACGTAGCAGTTTTGTCATCCATTGCACGTTTACCGTGGAATTCCGATCGTCTGCACGCGAAAGAATACTCAGTATTTCCACGAAAGTAAAACGACAAAAGGCTGGTACACTTACGCGCCTCCCAGTGCATCGATCTCGTCAATAAACACGACTGCTGGACGATTTACCTGGAAGAGAGAGAGACATAGAGGGAGAAAAAAAAATTAAAGATCCACATTCACACAGAGCTAAGCCTCGGAAATAAACAAACCTTGGCACGCAAGAACAGATCACGCATGCGAGCAGCTCCCACACCAACAAGCACCTCTACAAACTCAGAGCCTGCCATCTGGTAAAACGGTACTCCTGCCTCGCCTGCTACCGCCTTTGCAAGTAAAGTCTGCAGCAACGTAAGAAATTAGCGAACTCAAATGGAGTGTTTGTTTACACCTTTCCACAACCAGGAGGCCCTTCAAGAAGCACCCCATGGGGTGGTTTTGTACCCATCCTGGCAAATCGTTCCGGATCTTTAAGGTACACGACCAACTGAAACGTGAAACATGCCCGGTCAAACATAAAAAGAATACGGTGCCAATGAAACGAGTGTACCTCTTGCAACTCCTTTACAACTTCATCGATTCCTGCTACGTCCTTGAACATTACTCCAGTAGATCCCTGAAACCAAAATATATGGAAAGGAAATCGTAAGAGGTACAAAATCTTTTAGCTACAGAAACTCACCTTTACGCGAGCCTGAGGCTTAGATTGTCCAAATTCAATAGCTTGCCATATATCCTACATTTACGAAATTAAAATTAAAATGACCCGATAAACTTTTGAATGGACAACTTACCCACTTTTGGTGATCTCTCGACCTCCTGGTTATGGTAAACTTTGCGAAGGCTGCCATCATCACGATAACAAAGATCATCGAGATTATAATTCGAAGCGCAGAAAGTAAGTCGCCACTGGTAACAAAGCCTGTGAATCCTGTAAACAAGCCGAGTAATCCCGTTCTCATCCCTGCTTCCCCAGTCCCAAGAATGATGCGCACAACTCCCATTGTCAAAGATAAGAAGGGGCGCATGATAGGAGTGATAGTGGGAAGGAGAACTCGAAAAATAACGAAAGCTGCAACACTTGCGAGAGCTGAAGCAACACCAGCCGCAAATTTGCCGACCGCAAATGCAGCTACCGAGATGAGACTTACTACAGTCGAAAGTTCCAGCATCAAGCGGTTTGATATTGCCGATGACACAGGATTTGGCGTTGGAGGAGGCTGGATCACGGTTGGCTGTAAAGGAGAACGACGAGAAGATTTAATCACGTTTAGAATTTCAATTGAACACGACTTACTGCGAACCGTGGCTGGATTTCGTGATGATAGCCTCTATACTGAGAAAGAACGTATTTCGCTTGAGCTTCAGTCAGCTGCATGGACCTGGAATAAGAGCATTGTGAAGACGAAGGCTTAGAAGAAAGAAAATGAAAAAATGAGAGAAGAAGAGATGAAGTTCACGTACCATTTTTGAGCTTGTGCACTTCTTTCTCCCGAGATTTCTTTCAGTTCCACAATGAACTGAGTTCCTTTCGACTTGATCTGTGCAACTTGATCGGATTGCATCACATTGACAAAGTCTTGGAAAATCATGACAGGCAACTCGGCAAATTCCCTAGCGAATTCTTCCGCTTCTGCAACGTGGCCCATGAAAATCTCCACTGGAACGTACAAATTCCCCTTATATGCTCGAAGAAGGTCAGGCAAGAAAACAGACCTTCCTTTCGCAGCCTGAGAAGTCGTCTCACTCTCGGGAGTTTTTTTCTCCTGGGGACGAACTTCACGAGCCTTTTTCACCAATGGCTCGATTTTCGCGAGAAGTTTAGACCATAGCGGCACTCGCTGCGATCGCCATTCCTTGAGCGAGAGCATTCTATCTCCAGACAGGCACTTCCTCTCCACTCTGCTGGGATTCTCCCTCAGAATCTGTGTCATGAAATCGTCGCTGGCCTGCGCGGCTGCCGCAGAAGTAAGAATCGAGCCTACATTTTTCTCTCCTGCGACTCACCAGAAATGCGCCTCCAATGCCGGCGCTGGAATCGCCTTCCTGTGTAAGTATCGCGGAGTGGAGCGCGCGGCTCCAGGGAGGAGGACAGCGCCATTGCCATCGCCATGGCAATGGGATGATAAAACCTAAGCCCGGGGACAATACCATTCAACCATCAAATTAATATTCTCTTAAGTTCTCTTATTAGTGGTAAGAATGTTTATCAAAACTTTGCTCCATAGCATTAGCTTTTATTCGCTCGTTTCTCTTCGCCCTTCTATTTCACGTTGTAGTAAGAGTCGATGATCGCGTCCGCAAGGTAGTCACACTTGGCTAGATTCAATCCAGCCAAGGAAATTCGTCCATCCTTTGTCATGTAAACGTGCCATTTATCAGTCATGTTGTCACTCTGGAAAACATCACAGCGATCACAGTGAAGATCCAACCAGGTTTCGAAAACTTCGAGAGCTTTTTACCTGGGACTTGGTGAGGCCTGTGAAGGAGAACATCCCAATTTGCTTGAGAATGAAGGACCAATCTTTGCCACTCTTGTCCTTTGACAGGAGTGCCTCGTAGAGCTTCTGCCTCACACCCTTGATCCTGCCCGCCATCATCTGCATCTCTGCCCTCCATTCGTCGAACAAAACCGAGTCGCCGACAACGTTTGCAACAATCCGTGCGCCATGCACTGGAGGATTCGAATACATTGGCCTTGCGAGTCGCTTAAGTTGGCTCTTCACTCTGATCAAAGCAAGCAAGCACGAGTGTTTTAACACCGTAGATATTTTGTTTTATCATACCTTGCTGCCAAGTCGGCCGTTGGAAGAATGACGTTGATTGCACCAATTCTTTCGGCGTAGAGGCCAAGGTTCTTGCTGTAGGACTGTGCAACAAACATCTCAAAACCACGACTGGCAAACTTCCTTACGGAGCTCGCATCGTCGTCGAGACTACCACTAGCGAATCCCTGCAAAGGAAAACAAACTTATTACATTCAGAGAAATCAATCCAAACATTACCTGATATGCAACATCAAAAAATGGCATGTGGCCTTTCTCCTCAAGAACATCGGCGATTGCTTCCCATTGCTCGGGAGTCGGGTCGATGCCAGTGGGGTTGTGCGCACAGCCGTGAAGCAATATGACCGATCCATTGGGAGCAGCCTAAAGCACGCCTCGTATAAGACGAAACTTGTAGAGATTTTACCTTGATATCTTCAATCATTCCCTTGAAATCCAGTCCAACCGTTTGAGGATCAAAGTATCTATACTCTGACCATGGAACACCTGCATCGCTGAGAATGTTCTTGTGGTTTCCTACAAACGTAAGTGGTAACCAAACTGTTGTCACTAGAAATGTGGTGCTTACCCCATGTAGGAGACGAAATAAGAACCTTAACGCCAGGAAAGTATCTTGCAATAAAGGCAGCACCCAAGCGCAGAGAACCCGTTCCAGACAGACCTTGGACAGTAGCAATCTAGAAATCCAACCAGAAAACGTCAAGAACTTAGAAACTCAAAACTTATAGAAACCCAACCTGGCCATTCTTGATTACTGGATTGTCAGCCCCCAACAGAAGCTCGGCAGTAGCCTTGTTAAAAGCAGCAAGACCTTCAATTGGAAGATACTGTATGATCAAAAACGAAAACCAATGAACACCAAAACCTTCAAACATTCAAGCTCACCTCCTTGTTTTCACCCCTCTCCAGCATAAGCTGCTCGGCCTGCAGTAGAAAACAAGCTGTGAAATCGTAAAGCTAAGGCAAAGAAACGAACCTTGTTCACAACTTTAAGCACGTAAGGCTGAAGGTCCTCAGTCCTGTAAGCTCCAACACCAAGATTCAACTTAGTAGCGTCGGTATCCGCCTTGAATGCCTCGCTGACACCGAGAATGGGATCCGGAGGTGCCATGCTCACATTTTCAAAGCGAGAAACATCGACCGCCACAGCCATGTTGACCTTTGCAGCACACTAAATCAAAACGAAGGAGAAAAAGGAACGATCAACTTCAAGCTCAAGCGAAAAAGTTTTCTTTTTCCTCAAAAGAAAAGGTACCTTCACGGATGGAAACGATGCGTTCTTTGTCGAGAGCGCAACCGTGTGGAACCCCACAAATTTTTTCATCTGGACACAATTCATGCAAGCACATTTTCAGACCGAGAAAATGGAAGAAATCGAAACTAGCTCCACCAGTCGGAACTAGCTCCAGATCGGAGAAATGCAATGCAAGCATCACAAACACGGATCTAACGCGAAATCTACAGAATAGGTCCCTTGAAAGCACGACAGAGCTGATCCCCACTTACGGCAGGCTTGGAGGACATCTTCGAAGCCACTGAAGATGCGCTGCTCACAGCAATCTCGTTGAGCGCCATGCTCGTCGCCATAGCCGAGGAGAGATGCGTCGCGCCCTACTCGAAGCTCTCCCTGTGTAGAATCGTCCTCGATTATACCTACGTCTCCAATATAAAAGGGGAAAAAATTTTCAAAGGTGGAGGTAGAAGCAATCCTAGCCGCTCGTTTGGATGCTCACGAACATTCCCATAAACCCTAATTTTTAGTCAGTCAACAAAAGGAGCTTTATTTCACTTGTAGTGACTTTTAAGAATTTCCGACTCGATCTCTTGGAATGAGCCTGAGCTCCGAGCCGTGCTTTAAGAATACGTTTCCTACACACGACATACTCCAGACGATCAATCGATCGATACAAAAAACTTCATAGCTTTTTCGCTTACCTGCGCTTTGCTGGGGATTTATGCCGACGCCATCTACACACCAAAAGAGCGTAAGCTTACAAGATAATTGTCAAGCAAGAGATCGATCTAAACAGAGAAATCTTTTAGCTAGACTTCCAGTTCAGAGTTAAAAACCATCCATTGAAGACAGCAAATCAGCGCAAGCTTACGATATAATTGTCGAGCGAGAGATCGATCTATCAGAGAAATATATCTAGCTAAACTTCCAGTCAAAGCATACAAAACATCCCTCGAAGAGACCAAAAAAGAAAGAAAGAAAAGCGGAGAACGACAACTCGAGGAGATTTCTAAGAGTTCTTCTAGAGAGAAGCGTACCATTTGTGATGATCGCACTGGTCTGCGCAGGAACTTTAAACTCCTCCGCAACGTACTTGAGAACCGCCGTGAAAGGAGCCTCCTCGGGAACACTAAGCCTGTTGATAGGAAAAATTAGAAATTTCTATGCTTCACCTAGAACGAGCTTTCTTACACTTTGTATGGAAGCTTTGGATCGGAGGTAAGAGTGACCTTAAACGTAACCTTGCCGCCAGGGCTGAGAAAAAGAGGGAAAAACTTGCAAGAATGAGCGACAATCGATCCAGCAAGTGAAAATTTCGCGTCGATCAGACGATCATCTTACCCCTTCACGCCCGCAGCGGCAGAGGGTGCCTGGATCGGATTGCTGCTGCTGTCCACAGCTGCCATAGCGCTCGCTCCCAAGAACCCTAAATTTGATAGTGCATTCAGATTTAAAATCCAACGACGGAGATTTGTACCAGTTAATCGAACGGCCAGTATTCAATGGTGGAGATTCTTTCATTTTCTCTCTCGGAAATTTGCGAGGAGTTCTTCTCTTTCTTTTTGGCTCGCCGATACCATCCACTGGCTAAATTCTTTGACGCCCAATCCTTTGAACTTGGCGAGCTCGGAGAAGAGCTCCGATTTTTTCGTCGCTGGCTTTTGCTTCGCCGCTGTTGGTTCTTTGGAGCGATCCAATTCTTTGGCTGTTTGATCGCTCCGCTGTCTTTGCTTTGGTTTTGTTTCCTTTGGAGCTTTTGATCCCTCCGCTTCTCCCTGTCTTTGTTTTGGTTCCCTTCTTGTTGTTGATGCTGATTTTCGGACGGTCTTTTCTTCTGTCACCCGAGTAGCTCTCGTTCTCCTGGTGCTCGTTTCGCGCTCCTCGTCGCCTGAATCGATGACATCGACGGGTTCTTCATTCTTTTGGCCACGAAGTAATCGAGCATTCACCACCTCTTCGTTCTTGTGAGCGTAGACCACACCTACAAAACTCACAGTATGTAAGAAACAAAAATCCGACTCGCCAGAAAATCACGAAGAATTACCTGATTTTGTCAGCATGTCTTGGAGTCCCACTGTTTCCTCTTCGTCTGTCTTCTGCGAGTCTTGCATATTTTCTTTCACCAGACGAGCAAGGCCGCTGACTCCATGCTCGTCATCTTCTTCTTCATCCCCGTCGTTCTCAAGAGCTCTTGGCCTCCCTCTACGAGGCCTACACGGTCCATCACTGTCGCTGTCGTAACTTTCGACCTGTATCTTCATTAATCTCTCTTCGTGCTGCTCAATGATGTCACTCGTGAAGACTTTGTCTTGAAGATCCCGGAACAGGTTGCTCAGTCCAAAAAGCTCCCCTTTGTCACCTTTGGAGTCCTGTGAATAACAAAGTTGAAACGAGGAAACAACAAAAAGAAGATGTTCTACCTGAACTCCTTCGAAGTATCGCTTCTCGCGATTTCCCGTGACTGCAAGGTTGAAAAGCTGCTGCTTGTATATTTGCCTGGTATAAATTAACTCCTCCAAAGACCCTGCAGCCAGTAACCGGAACACAGTGACATGGCGTTTCTGACCAAAGCGGAAAGAGCGATCTTGCGCTTGGAGATCTTGTGCTGGATTCCAGTTTGGATCAAAGACTACCACCCTGTTTGCACTCACCAGATTGAGTCCAAGTCCACCAGCACGAGTAGAGATGAGGAACACCTGGAAAAGTAACAGTTTGTATAGAAAGAAAAAACAAATCGTTCCACCACCTGTTTGCTAGGACTAGTATTGAACTCGTCGACAATGCCCTGTCTTGCATTCATAGGTGTTGAACCATCGAGCCGGCAAAAGCAGTATCCTCGACGAATAAGAAACTTCTCTAGAATTCCAAGCATCCTGTTTAAATACATGAATTCGCAAGTCAAACTCACCATAAAACTGTGTCACACCAACCTCACAGAGTAGCTAAAGAGCAGCACCTTGTCACCTTGTGAAGTCCACTTGGACAAAAGGTTCTTCAGCGCAAGCATCTTGCCGCAATTCTGAGAGTCACTTAAACCGAGAAAGCTCTCATCTGGTTGAATGCCACCGAGAGAAGGAGCATCGTCACCGAACACTAGTGATGCAAACGCTGCGTCCTTCGTTCTCTTCTCGATATCGTCACTAAGATTTGGCTTAAGAAGCTCGAGATGATTGCTCACCTGGAGAAACCAATTCACGTTAGGAGACAAATGCGTAAGAACATGTTCAAACCTGCTGGAGTTTGTTCAAGCATGGAAGAACCAAGCAGCAGGGGCATGACTCGCATCCATCTGGATTGCCCTTGTGAAGATACGACCAAATCGGTCCCTTTGGAGCAGTTCTCAGGCAACACTTCGAGCTCGGCTCCTCACTACCGCAGCCACAAGGTTCGTTTTTCCTGACCAGGCACTGAAAGTCGGGACTTTCGAGGAGACGTTTGTAGACGCGCCTCTGTATAGGACTCATTGCGCAGAAGATGACAATGTCCTCCTTCCCTTTCAGCAGGTGTCCTATCGTCTCGTCTTTTGTTCGTCTCAAAGAGTACCTTCGTAGAACAGCCAATAGATGTTGTCTTCGTTTCTCCGCAAGCTCTACTAAAACCTGTGAGGCACTGATTTTCTGTCCCTGCTTGATTGGCTCATCGTAGTATCCTCGAAAATGCTCTCGTGTCCCAAGGCATCCCGGAGCAGCCCACTCGAAAACGTTGAACAAATCGATCAACTTATTCTGTAAGATTGTCCCTGTCAACCCGAAGCGGCACTTCGTGCGTAGCCTGCAGCATGCCTTGTAGAGCTGAGACTTTTCGTTTTTCAGGCGGTGTGCCTCGTCCACAATCACACAGTCCCAATCAATCTCCTGCAGCGAGCTTCCGTGTATTCTAAAAGTATCATGGCTGGTAATGACTACGTCGAGCTCGTCTCTCCGGACCTTGTCCACGATGGCCTCCCTTTGAGCACCATGGTAAACGCCGAGAGGGAAGCTTCCCCAAGCTTCAAACTCCCGCTGCCAATTCTCTATCACTGAAGTTGGACAAAGCACCAGCACGACCTTCTTCTTTGCTTCACTTAAGTTTGCCTTCGATCGGAATGGAAGCCGAAAGAGCTCACCATCGTTGTGAAGTATAGCTGCGATGAAAGCTATCGACTGTATGGTCTTTCCTAGCCCCCTACACACACACACACACAAGAAATCAAGAATAAACTTTTTGACGCGGTTTAGATGGTACTTACATATCATCACCCAGAATTCCACCGATTTTTTGCTTGTAGAGATTGTAGAGAAACCGGACACCTTCACGTTGATGCTCCAGTAGCCTGCTATTAATCGGTGCTGGAACCTACAGCAAGAAAAATATCCATGACCAAAAATTTCTTCACAAAGAATGGCTAGAGAAATTGCAAGAAGGAAAGAAAGAAGAAGAAAAAACGCTTGAACAAACCTCTACTCTCTCTGGTGATCCTTCGTCTGACAATAAAAGAGGCTCGTATGGACCTTCTTTCTCGGATTGTACCAAAAGCCCAGCGTCGCTGTCCAATCTTTCCCCGGATTCTTCCTCGGCAGTCACAGAAGCAGCATTGTCTTCCTCGATTCTCACACACGGCCGCTTGAGAAGAGGCTCGTCGATTTTCTGAAGAGGCTTCTGCGCTGTGCCGCTGGAATCCTCATACCTTTGCCTCTTGACGCTGCCGTAGATCCGCGCCTTGGATGCCTCGAGCGATTCTAGCTGCTCGCGAATGCTCGTCTTGGCGGGCTTCCTGGCCAGCGTCTCCATCACTACACTTTCTATAAACCCTAAAAACAAACGTTACAAAAGGGGGAAAGAGAAAATAGGGCTTAAGCGCGCCTATCGCCAGTGCGAGAGATTTCGAGCGCCATTCTCTTTCTCGCAGGAAGATCCTCGCGTTCTTGCCGGATTGAAAGCCTGCGGGAGCTTGAGGGAGCTTGAGATTGGTAAGAGGATCCATCACAGCGGCTCTCCAAGCATTCTGGTCTCTAATGCCTCGATTTCCATGTACGCGAAATGCGGGAGCATGCCGGATGCGCGAGGAGTCTTCGATGGAATGGCGCGTCGCGACGTGGTTTCCTGGACAGCTTTGATCTCCGGGTATGTTGAGAACAGGGAAATCGATCGGGCTTGTGAGAGCTACGATCAAATGGAAGGTTGCGAGCCAGATGCTCGAGCGTTTCTCGCGGTTCTTACAGCTTACACCCGTCTAGCAGCTCAAGAAGAAGGAGTCCAAGATTGTGGCAAGCTCGCTAAAGTTGAGGCTCTTGGAAAATCCATGGCCTTGCACGACCAGATTTTTGGAAGGGGCTGTGACAGGGATATCTTCGTAGCAAGCTCGCTGGTGGATCTCTATGCCAAGTGTGGGAGCTTGGTGGATGCCCGAATAGTTTTTGACAGGATGGCCGAGCACAACGTAGTTTCGTGGACTAGTCTGGTGATGGGATACGTAGAGAATGGGGAGGCTGGGATCGCTTTGCAGCTTTTTAGGTGCTTCCACAGCACAGGACTGGAGTTGAATTCTCGAGTCATGGTTGCCGCCCTTATGGCCTGTGGAAGCTTGGCATCGAAGGAAGAGGGAACTCAAGTTTGTGGAAGGCTTGTCAAGATCGGGTGTCTAGAACAAGGTGTGGTTTTATACGAGCAGGCAAAATCCCGGCGATTGGACTCGGAAGTTCACGTAGCGAACAGCTTGATCGACATGTTTGCGAAGTGTGGGAGCATGGAGAGAGCTTGTCGGGTTTTTGAGACAATGGAGGTTCGGAACGTTGTGTCGTGGACGTCATTGATACAGGGGTATGTAGAGAACGGGAAGGAGGAGCTAGCTCTAGATCTCTTTGGCAGTATGGGAACTCCACCAAACGCTTGGACTTTTACCACAGTGCTTGTGTGCTACGCTTCTTTAGCAGCAAAATCCAGTTGCGGAATCATGAAGACCAAGTGGCTAGAGAAAACAAAGGCTCTCCACGATGAAGCTGTAAAGTCTGGCTGTTCTTTGGGTATCGTCATGGCCAACACGCTAGTTTTTACCTACATGAAGTGTGGGAGCACGGTAGATGCCGATCAAGTTTTCAGCAGCATTGGACAGATCGCAAACGTTGTTTCGTGGACGTCGATGATTCTCGGGTATACAGAAAATGGAGAGCACGAACAAGCTCTAGAACATTTTTACAGGATGAAAGCAGCAGGAAGTGCTCCCGATTCTCGAGCATTTGTCTCAGCTCTTACGGCCCTGGGAAGATTAGCGGAGAAAGAAGCGAATGAGCTCCAGGATTCTGCCAAGACCAAGTGTCTGGAGAGAGCAGTGGAGATGCACTTGGAAATCACAGCAAGCGGGCTCGACTCGGACAGTTTCGTCGCAAACACGTTGATGGAGGTTTATGCAAAGTGTAGGTGCATGCCGAAGGCTCGCCAGGTCTTCCAAGGGATGGTGAATCGCAACACCGCAAGCTGGAACACTATGATCCTGGGCTATGTCAAGAATGGTGCTAGTGAGCAGGCTTTGGAAACATTTACTCGTATGAAACTCGAGCCACGCCGGGGTTGTGAACCGAATCATCAAACTTACGTCGCGGTGCTGACTGCTCTTGGAGACTTGAGCACAGGGTTAGAGGCTGGCCGAGAAATTCATGGAGAAATATGCAGGAGAGGACTGATCGAAGAGACATCATCAAGCTCTCCCCCGGTTCTAGCAACTTGTTTGCTGGATTTCTACGCGAAGTCCGCGAGCATGGCTGCTGCCCGGCACGTCTTCGACTCGGCTTTCCTCGGTGGTGGTGATGCTGCTATTTGGAACGCACTGATCTCCGGCTACAGCATCCAAGGTGACACTTTCCAAGTTTGTAGCTCGTTCCGGGAGATGAGAGGCGCAGGGATCCAACCGGATGAGGCTACGTTCCAATCGATCTTGATGTCGTGCAGTCACGCCGGTCTCTTGGACGAGGCAAGGAAGTTCTTCCGCGAGATGGGCAGTGTCTATGGAATCGCTCCAAGGATGGAGCATTACAGTTGCATGGTCGATTTGCTTGGAAGAGCAAACCGTGTTGAGGAGGGTATGGAGCTCCTGGAAAGAATGCCATGGAAAGCTGATACTGTGGCATGGACGAGCATATTGAGCGCTTGGTCTCAAATGGAACAAAAGTAGAATTTCTACACTTCCATCATATGTATGATAAAAGGTTTGAAAGGTGACAGAACTTAATAACAAGAGAATCAAGCAGGATACTTGCTGATGTTTATATGATCTGCCAGAACATTACAAGCTTTTCTCTCTCCATTCTTATATACTACCAGAGTTTCAGAAAGAATCACAAGCTATTAACAAGATAAAGTTGTTGCAAGGAGGGCATAGGACGACGAGCTCTGAGGATCTAACACGAATGCTTCTCTTGCAACTAATCTCCCTTGCGCCGCATTACTATGAAGTTTGCAAGCAGTGAGCAATGCCTTCCACCCAGCCCCATTTTGATACTTCTCAGGGATCAGTGCCATGACCTGAGACGCCTCACTCACAAGCCCCACTCTCCCCAGCAAGTTTACCATCGAGTAGTAGTGCTCCCTCGTCCAATCCACCGAGTGGTCCATCAAGATTGATGTGAAGCAACTCCGTGCTGCCGCTAAAACACCAACGTCGCTACAAGCAGCGAGCAAACAAAGCCCACCGACGTGATCGATCTCGAGGCCATGAAGCAGCATTTGCTTCACGAGCTCTAGAGCTTCCTGGTTATGCCCGTTCTGGGCATATCCAGTAAGCATCGCATTCCAGGAGACGGCATTTCGTTCGAGCATACCATCGAAGAGCCTCTTCGCCGCTACTACGTCTCCGGCTTGCGAAAACGCCGCCACCATTGCGTTTGTCGAAACCAAACTCCTTTGCGGCATCTCATTGTAGATTTCCAACGCGTTTGAAAGTTGCCCAGACTGGGCAAATGCTGTGAGAAGTATGTTCCAGGACGCTGAATCTCTTTCCTTCATGCAATGGAATGCCTTGCTAGCGTCCTCCGTACAGCCCGCCTGCGCGTACGCTCCTACCAGCGTGTTCCCGCTCCGTACGTCCCTCTCCGGCGCGCTGTCAAAGAGAAACTTGGCCTCTTCGACGAGCCCGGCCTGCGATAAGGCGACGAGCATCGCGTTGCACGAGACGACGCTGATCTCCGGCATGGAATCGAATGTGAGCTTGGCGTCGCGTAGGCGCCCATTCTCGGTGTACGCTGCCACTGCCACCGTGCCCAGGACCACGTCCCAGCGAGGGAGCGATCGGAGGATCTCGCCCACTTGATCCACGAGCCCATGGCGCGAGTAAGCCGCGATGATCGCAGTGAAGGTCGCGATATTGGGGCGATCCATCCGCGCGAGCAGTGCCTCTGCCTCGTCGAGGTTTCCCGAGAGAGCGTATGCCTGGATCATCGTGTTCCAGGAGACGTGATCCCTCTGCTGGGGATCCATTGATTCAAAGAACTCTCGGGCTCGATCTAGCGAGGGATCCATTGCGACGAGCACGCTCAGGATCGAGTTGCAAGAGACGGTGTCTCGCACGGGCATCGAATCGAAGAAGCTCTTCGCTTGATCGAGATACCCGTTCTGGGCATAAGCTTGGAGCATTGTGTTCCACGACACTGGATCTCTCTCCTGGGATGAATCAAAGAGAGCTTTTGCTTTCTCCAAGTGCCCAGCCTGGGCATATGTTGCGATCATCGCATTTCGCGACACAAGATTTGGACAGGGCATTTGGTGGAAGATCGCCTCTGCCTGATCGATCTGTCCTAATCTTGCGTGGAGTGCCAGCATCGAATTCCAAGAGACGCTGTCGTGCTCCGGCATGGATTGCAGCATTTCTTTGGCCTTCTCCAAATGCCCATTCACGGCAAGAGCTTGGATCATGGCATTCCAGACGAACAGATTCCTGGCGGGCGATCGATCAAAGAGTAGCTGCGCTTCGCGGAGTTTACCGTCCTGCGCGTAGGCCGCGATCATTGCTGTGGTCGCGACGAGGCTCCCGGCGCCCGCCACAGCCGCGCTATCGAGCAAGCTCCTCGCTTGTTCTAGATGCCCAGTTTGGGCATGTAGGGTGATCATGGTGTTCCACGAGACAGCGTTCCTGTACGGCATGGCGTCGAAGACGCGCTGGGCCTGGTCCTCCTGGCCATTGCTGCCGTACGCCTGGATGAGTATGTTATAGGAGAAGAGATTGGGCCGCGCGATGGTGTCAAAGGCGCGTTGGGCGTCGCTAGGGCAGCGGCATTTGCCATACATTTGGATTAGGAGGTTGGAGAGGTAGAGATTTTGGCGCAGGGCGGCGCTACTCGCGATGATCCGCGCGTGGATCTTTCTCGCCGCGGCTAGATCGCCGCTCTCACCGCAGATCTTCACGGCGCTGGCTAGCTCCTCGATCGCTGATGATTGCATAGGATCGCATCGCCGGGAGGTTTAGGGTTTATCGATCGGGGGCGAAATATGAGGAGATGAGGAGAGCCGCGTCTCGGCTGCGCGGAGTCGTGCTGCATTCGATCCATCGGGAGTTTACCAGCAGCGGCGTGAGGAATGCGAGAGACAAGGTCGGGCCGTCTGGAGAGATCAGTAAGTTTGCAAGGAAGAAATTCGAGAAGCTGCGGCAGCAGCCGGTGGAGAGGCCCTATGTCGCTCCACAGCCGGCGGCGCCGCTCTCGCCTGTCAAGGTGGTGGAGATTTTCGAGGGCATGACGATGCGGGAGCTTGCATCTCGGCTCCAGCAGTCAGAGAGCGCTGTGCAATCCATCCTGAATGATCTTGGCGAGAGCTGTGAGTCCGGTGACGAGGCGCTGGCCTTCGATGCATCAGAGCTAGTTGCACTGGTACGTGATCTTTCCTTTCTTTCTCTAGTTCTTTTCTTTTCGCAAGTCTTTGCTGCTTCTCTTTAGATGATTTTGCTGCTTATCTCAGATGAAAAGATCTTTGTAGCTTCTTATTGTTGATTCACTGATCATTACTTTTCCAGGAATTCGGAGCTCAAGTGAAAAGAGTTGACGCGGAAGTAAGGAAAGATGATCCTCAGAAGGAAGTGATTCCACTGCGTCCTCCAGTGATCACTGTTATGGGGCACGTCGACCACGGGAAAACTTCGCTGCTCGATGCACTGCGCAAGTCATCTGTTGCTGCGGGTGAGGCCGGAGGAATCACGCAGCACCTCGGTGCTTTTGTCGTGAAGATGTCCTCGGGAGCATCCCTTACCTTTCTGGACACGCCGGGCCACGCGGCTTTCAGTGCAATGCGAGCTCGCGGGGCGGCAGTGACGGACATCGTCGTTCTCGTCGTTGCTGCCGATGATGGTGTCAAGCCTCAAACGCTAGAAGCGCTGTCTCACGCACAGGAGGCCAAGGTTCCGATAGTGGTGGCGATCAACAAGTGTGACAAGGAAGACGCGGATCCTGCCAGGGTGCGGCAGCAGCTTATCATGCACAGCGTCGAACTTGAAGAGATTGGTGGCGACGTCCAGGTTGTCGAGGTCTCGGCTAAGCAGAGCACGGGACTTAACAAGCTGGAGGAAGCTCTACTGCTCATGTCAGAGATGATGGACCTCCGAGCCCGGACCGACGGCGATGCTCACGGGGTTGTCATCGAGGCAAGGCTTGATCGGGGCCAAGGGCCTTTGGCAACGGTGATAGTGCGATCGGGCACGTTGAAACAGGGAGCCATTGTCGTTGTTGGTCACCAGTGGGGGCGTGTGAGATGCTTGCGGGATATGACAGGAGCTATTGTCAAGTCTGCTGGGCCTGCTACACCTGTTGAGGTATCAGGACTCCGGGGAGCTCCGCTAGCTGGGGACTCGCTCAACGTTTTGCAAAGTGAGGACAGGGCTAAGAAGCTGGCCGAGAAGAGGCAGCTGATTATGGAGCAGGACAGATTGCAAAAGCGTAGCTTAAAAGCTGCTGCTGCTACTCCTGCTACTCCGGCCGCCGAAGATGAAGGGACCGACCAAGCTCCGAAGGCAGTCAACATGCCGCTCGTTGTGAAAGCCGACGTGCAAGGGACCTTAGAAGCTGTTCTTGAAGCCCTCGAAAGCTTGAACAACGAACAGGTGAAGTCCTATATTTTACCTTCTTTCATCTGAGGTTGTCTGTAACCTTTTGTACCAGGTATCTGTGAGTATCGTGCATTCCGGAATTGGCCCCGTGTCGGAAGCAGATTTTCTTCTAGCCGAAGCATGTCAGGGCTGCTTAATTGCTTTCACCGTCAAGTGCTTGCCATCGGTAGAAGCAATGGCTCGTCGTGCTAAAATCCCGGTATGTTCTTTTTTATGCATTGACTTGAAACTACTTTTCATGTTTCCATTTACAGCTTGTTCATCACCGTGTGATTTACCATTTGTTGGAAGAAGTGGGGAAGCTGATAATTGAGAGGGCTCCAGGAACTTCGGAGACCCGGATTGCCGGGCAGGCCGAAGTTCTCGCCATCTTTGAGATTAAAGGCAAAGGCAGGGCAGGGGTTGGAGCAGCCAAGATTGCAGGCTGCCGAGTCTTCGAGGGACGCCTGCTCAAGGGTCAGCGTGTCAAAGTCCTCCGGAGTGGCACGGAGCTGTTTGACGGGAAACTTTCGTCGCTCAAGAGGGAGAAGCTGGACGTGGACACGGTTGGGAAGGGGACGGAATGCGGGCTTATTGTCAACGAATGGATGGAATTCAGTGTCGGGGACGTTGTGCAGTGCATCGAAGAGTACAAGAGATTGCCGACGTTTGTTTCTTCGGATGGGAAAGCGAGGATCGAATGCTGAGGTTTTGCTAGAATGACACCAGAGTGGTTTTGGTAACTCCAAACTTGACAGAAACTTTTCAGGTACTGTATTCTTCTCTCTTTTTTTCTTCTTCTTTCTTCTCTTCTTTGCGGTTAGCAATAAGAAGTACTGTGCTCTTTAATAACCCCGTGCATTGCAGCTGGTTTGGTGTATACCTTGCTTCTTCTAGTGTCTTTGTCTACCTTTCCTTCGTAATCCGGCATTGCTCGAAGAGTCTTTGGCGTCGATATAAGCTGCTTGTTTCGTCCTAGGTAGAGCAACTAGAGCTATGGAAGACGACTATCGCTACTATCAGCTAGGATTGAGAGTCTTGGGATTTGCTCTTACTTCTGTGGCTTTTTCGTGTATGGGAGCAGCGCTTCCAGTGTCCCCGACATCTCTGACGCGCTATGCCTCGTTCAAGTAAGCAATCTTTGTGGAAGAGATCCTTTCTAACGAGTTTCCTTTGCAGCTTTTTGCTGGCTACCAATGTCCTTGCATGCCTCTACTCGGGAGCTCAGGTTGCCGTTTTAGCAGCGAACAGAAAGAAGCTCACAGATTTTTACAAAACCTCCAGCTTAATGCTCGATCAAGTAAGTCACTACATCTATAGTTTTCGTCAGGTCGCACGCATCCTCTCTTTTGCAGATTTTCACTTGCTTGCTGCTTGCAAGCGCGTCGGCAGCTAGTGCCGCTTTCCAAGCGCTCGAACTGTGTAAGCAAGACCTGGCCACTTGCCTACGAGTAACATCGTCGGTGGTAGCGGGATTTGTGGCCTTTTCAGCACTCTACGCCTCCACAGTCGTATCGTTCCTCACCGCAAGGTAAATCCCGGCTGTTTTTCGATATGTATATACATACACTCAATTGCTTACTACTTGTCATGTACAAAACAGGGCTATCGAGCTATCAAGTCGAGATCATCATCCTCCTCCAGATCATGCTCGTTCATCTGCTTGATCCTCTTGCCGTCTCGAGGGCCGGTTCGTCGCTTTTGCTTCCCGCTGCGATCCAAATAGAAGAAAGTTGAGAATAAGGTAAACAAGTTTGCGTGCTCTACTTACGGCCCGTTTGCTGGCGTTCCCGCGATCTTGATCCGACTTTGGCCGCTTCCATCTAGTCTTCCCTCGGTGTCTCGTCCTAGAGCATTCTCTTCGGCCTTGGAAGAGACAACAAAAAGAAGAATGGCCGGGTATGGAGAAAAAGTTGGCATTACTAGACACATAATTCTCTGGTTTTGGTGGTTTTTTTTTTCTTTCAACTTACAGCAGGGGAAGTGACCGAAGACAAAGAAAACAAACGATCCTCGGTGGAGAACTTGCGTGGTCTCTTCATGCTGAGACAGAAAGAGAAAGAGATTCAAAGGTTACGTTAATCTTTGATTCGAGCAATGCTTTTTTTTTTTTTTTTTTTTTTTTTTGGTTGCTTTGCTCGAGAGCAAACTTACTTTCCAGCTCCCTTGGCGGAGGAGAGAAATCCCTCGAATCCCTTGAGAACGTTGCCGCACTGGCTCGAGTCGTGCAGATAAGTGGTCTCGAGATCATACACCTGTAAATGATTCCGGAATATCCAGAGATGCCAAAGATATATTCCCTTTACACAAACCTGCTTCTCAACGTTTCGGAGCTCCTCGAGGAGCTTCTCCCGTTTGGAGACGCACAGGGCGAGATTGGCCTGTGGATTCAACTGCGCGGCCGCGCGCTGCTGCTGGCTCGCCGCCATATCTACCATTTTGGCCCGGGGGAAACAAAACCCTAGCGCTAGGGCTATGGGCAGATATTCCGTCAGCTTGACGGAATGTCTTTCCCGACATCTACTCCATACATTTTAAATATATATATTAGTTTTAATATTATATGTATTAAATTGGGGAATCCAAAAACGAGGATTTGAAGAAACATCAGGTGGAGCAACAATATATTCGTTGCCAGCACAAAGTTAAGTGCTTCCATGACAGAAAAAAGAAAGATTCTTATTCATAAGAACAAGCAAAGGTGGAAGAACGAAGAAGATAGACCGATTATTTTTTTAATTCTGGAGGGCTGAATGTTGTGGCAAACCTCAGGCCCTATTTGCTGCCGCACTTCCACTGAGTAAGCAGACCCCTTAGACAAAGCACGATTGGGAAAATAAATCAACTGGGTGGATGGGAGTTGTATTGTTGGTATGGTCTCACTTGTATGAAGAATGATCTTTAAATATACCATCCACCAAAAATGAAGAAAAATAAAATAAAATAAAATTGAGCTTCACACTTGTGCAACTTATGACCTCAAAATTCTTCTGTCTCTGTCTAAGGGCATTACAAAACTTCTAAAATTTACAACAAAACACAGAAAACAAAGCAGCATATAAACTTGATCAAGATGCCATCAGACTAGGACATCAACTCCAACAACACATACCACCTTGCCTAAGGTGGCTGTATGGACTCCATCTCTACCATCACCTTGTAGTTAAGATGCAACTCCAAGCACGTCTTGAGATCATAGTGGAATCTGAAAGTGCTGTCCACCCAAACATGCACAGTGCGGCTCAAATCTGCTGTCCATGTTATGAGATAGCTTTTTGAAGCCCTGCGAAAGTACACAAGCAAAGTTATAGAAAACAAAACGAGAGCAATCTAACTTACTAGTAGAGAAAAACGCATGGTCTGCATGGTGTCAAAGCCGAGACAAAACTTGTGGCCGACTTCCAGCTCAGGAACTCCAAAACTCTCCAAATAGAGCTTCACGATCAGCTTCCAAATGGTGTATATTACTTCCAGGAATTAGACTTCAACATTGTATAATCACAAGTGTTTTTCAAAATTGAGGGACACAATAACCAAACGCTCCTACTCCTTGGAGTATGGAAACATACCCTTCACAACATTTCTCTGGGTCACCAAAACCCTTACACAAAGGCTCGAAACAATCCTGAAGTAGTTTGCGATGCCCAGTCAAGTGATCTAAAATGCAGAAAATTAGATTCAGTATTAAAATCGCCGCAGAAGAACTTATTTGTGTTATAAACACAAATGAGATGAAAACAATCATGAACAAAACTAGACTCAGCTTCTGAAAATTGCCCATTCCCCACTAGAGCCAAAGCAAAAGTTATGTCAGACTCGGTACAAAGTCAGCTTGACAGTGGATACGACCCGTCACACAGTGCATATGGTTGCTTAAGAATTTAAAGCCTTGAGTCACTTAAAGCTACCTTGAAAACTGATTATAATTCACAGGTGTTTCTATGGAACATGATACAATCCACTCAAGACGTCTTTCACTTTTACTGTGAGCAGACATTCCGTCAACATGGGGAAATGAGCTCTTTGCCCTCCGTCGGTCGGTGGTTTCGGGGAGTGGATTTAAAAAGAACTGTGTAGAGATGTCCGTTCCCCCGCGTGTGTGAGGAATGGAGGTTTGTCCGCTGCTTGCGCTTCGAATCAGGCTTGTGATCCAGAAGCTCAAACGCGCCGCGCTCAGGCTTAAAGGTAGATCGTCCATTGTTCTTTGGATCCCAGAGATTTAGCTTCTTATCAGGAAAGAAGAAGAGGAAGAGCTCCACAGAGCAGAGAATCCAGCCGGCTAGAAGACCACCCGAGGAAATCAAGAGAGACTATGGATTCCAGGTCCGCAAATCATCTGGCAATAGAGATGCTAGCTTTGTTTTGGTTCTTACTTGAGTGCATCTCTCTTATTGACAGGATTCTCCAGCAGCAAAGGCCAGGGCTGCTCTAGCAGAGCGCCACGAGAAGCTCGAGGTAAATTGGATCTTAGATCTTACACTCTTTTTTAGACTAGGAAGAGAGATTCCAGTCCAGATTCCCACTATCTCACTTTTAAACAACGGTCCAGAGGGTAGAGGACAAGGCCCAAACACTACAGAGCAGTGCGGAGAACTTCGCCGGGCTGGCGAGAGAGGTGGTGAGAGAGGCGGAGAAGACGAAATGGTGGCAAGTTTGGAGATATTGATCGTTCGTTGCTTAAACAAACAAAAAGACTATGCTCGATCGATTTTGATGATCGCGTAGTTCTTTCTGGAACCCAACGTGAACGCGCGCTTGTAAATCTCGTTGATCGATTCGCCCGGAAACCGGGTCCGGGGTGAAGAAGGAAGAATGGGGCCTCTTCGGGGGGCCAAACCGCCCACTGTCTGCTGCCCCATCCTCGGCGCGGGCAGACGCCTCCCAGCCAGAGAGGGGAGGGAGGAGGGCGAACGGCTTCTTCGGCCGCCCCACGCAAAAACCAGCGGAGAGTGGAAGAATGTTTGCTGTGGCCCGCCAAGATCGGCTTTAGATTTCCCACCATTTCAGCCGGACAACGTTAGGCTCTTTGGATTGCAGAAAGATGATGCTCACCTGCAAGCGCTCCTGCCGTTCCATCAATCGATCTCTAGCGTGTGCCGCGGCGCTGCTTGCCTCCTAAACCCCATTCATGCAAATTCGAGTGAGTGAATGAGCTGAAAGTTAGTTATCGCTGCTCGGATCTTCCCGACAGAACGCCAGTTTAATTATTTATTGTTCACAGACTAAATGTTGTTTAGTTTGTGTGTGTGTACGTATATATATTTTAAATTTGAGGAATCCGGATTTGAAGGAACGTCCAGTGGAGCTCAATCATCACATATCCATAAATTCTGGAGGGCTGAATGTTATGGCGAACCTCAGGCCTATTTGCTGCGCACTTCCACTGAGTAAGCAGACCCCTTAGACAAAGCACGATTGGGAAAACAACCAATTGGGTGGATGAGAGTTGTAATGTTGTCATGGTATGAAGTAAAATCTTTAAATATATCATCCATCAAAAGTGAAAAAAAGAAAATAAATATTGAGCTTACCTGCCTCAAAACTTATTTATATTTGCTCTGCAGATTTACAACAAAACACAGAAAACAAAGAAGCATATAAGCTTGAACGAGATGCCATCAGACTAGGACAGGATCAACTCGAACAACACATACCACCTCGCGTAAGGTGGCTGTATGCTCGTAGTTAAGATGCAACTCCAAGCACGTCTTGAATCACGGTGGAACAGCCCTGCGAAAGTAAGCAAAGGTATAAAAAGAAAAACGAGAGCAATCTAACTTACTAGTAGAGAAAAACGCATGGTGCCGAGACAAAACTTGTGGCCGACTTCCAGCTCAGGAAGTCCAAAACTCTCCAACTAGAGCTTCATTATCATGGGCTTGTGCTTCAAAAGACTGCATATTACTTCCAGGAACTAGACTGCAACATTGTATAATCACACGTGTCACCAAAACCCCCACGCAAAGGCTTGAAACAATCCTGACGTAGTTTGCGAAGGAGTATCTGAAATGCAGAAGATTCAACATTAAAATCTGGGCTTATGAACATGGCCGCAGAAGAGCTTATTTGTGTCATAACACAAATGAGATGAAAACAATTATGAAGACTCAGCTTCTGAAAATTGCCCATTTCCCTCTAGAGCCAGAGCAAAAGTTATGTCCTCGTCTTACACATTTATATATACATATATACAAAGTCAGCTCTACAGTGGATACGACCACGTCACACTGTGCATATGGTTGCTTAAAAATTTAAAGCCTCGAGTCACATTCAATCATACACGCAATTGGTTAAAGTTACCTGGAAAACTGATTATAATTCGCCAGGTGTTTCTATGGAACATGATACAATCCACTCTCTTGTGAGCAGATATTCCGTCAATATAACGGAATGTGCTCCCTGCCCTCCGTCAGTCAGTGGTTTCGCGGAGTGAATATTCGGTGTGGATTTAAAAAAGAACTGTGTAGAGATGTCCGTCGCCTGTCTCCCCCGCGTGTGTGAGGAATGGAGGTTTTTCCACTGCTTGCGCTTCGAATCAGGCTTGTGATCCAGAAGCTCAAACGCGCCGCGCTCAGGCTTAAAGGTAGATCGTCCATTGCTCTTTGGATCCCAGAGATTTAGCTTCTTATCAGGAAAGAAGAAGAGGAAGAGATCCACAGAGCAGAGAATCCAGCCGGCTAGAAGAACACCCAAGGAAATCAAGAGAGAATATGGATTTGAGGTCCGCAAATCAACTGGCAATAGAGATGCTAGCTTTGTTTTGGATCTTACTTGAGGGCCTCTCTCTTATTGACAGGATTCTCCAGCAGCGAAGGCCAGAGCTGCTCTAGCAGAGCGCCAGGAGAAGCTCAAGGTAAAGTGGATCTACTCTTTTTTAGAGTAGGAAGAGAGATTCCAGCCCAGATTCCCACTATCTCACTTTAAACAACGCTCCAGAGGGTAGAGGACAAGGCCCAAGCACTACACAGCAATTCGGAGAACTTCGCCGCGACGGCGAGAGAGCTGGAGAAGATGATGGCCTCTCGCAAATGGTGGCAAGTTTAGAAAGATTGATCGTTCGTTCGTTAGCTCTTCGTCAAACAAACAAAAGAACTAGGCTCGATCGATTTTGATGATCGAGTAGTTCGCGTAGTTCTTTCTAGAATCCACCTCGCTAAAGCAATGAGAGGGAGGGACGTGGACGCGCGCTTGTAAATCTCGTTGATCGATTCGAAAGTGACAAGATCGGCTTTAGATTTCCCACCATTTTCTAGACTCCATTTTCTTCGCGAGCTCTTCAGCCATTGATGCAAAGTTCTCTGCGCTGTCTTGCATTTCTTCCGTCCTCCGGTTTATGTTCTGTTACCAGCCGGACAACGTTAGGCTCTTTGGATTGCAGAAAGAACATGCTCACCTGCAAGCGCTCCTGCCGTTCCATCAATCGATCTCTGGTGTGTGCCGCGGCGCTGCTTGCTTCCTAAACCCCATTCATGCAAAATCGAGTGAGTGAATGAGCTGAAAGAAACTTCTCTGGTAGTTAGTTACCGCAGATCTTTTGTGACCATAGGCTGCCTTGATCTCTTCGGCTGTTCGCATTGTCGGCGTTTTGCTTGATTGTTTAGTCTCCGTTGAGCCACCTTCAAAAAGCATATTTCTCTCCTCGTCCTCGTCCCCTTTGATAGAAGCTTTCTTCTTGCCTGCTAAAAGCAAACGATTGTAAGATTGATTCTTGTACTAGAAAGAAGTACCTTTGTTGAAGCTACTTCTCAACTTTCTCATCACACCGCCCTTTTTTACCGAGCCTTCCGAAGGCGATGGCGATGGCGATTTCAAGTCGTCGTCACCGAGATCGATGTCATCTGCAGAGCCATAGTGTGAGAGAGAAAGAGAGAATTGGAACCTTGACCTTACCAATATCTAACTCAGTTTCTTTATCAGGACTGTCGGTCTGCCGCTCAGTATGTTGCTCGGCATTTCGATCACTATGGCGTTCGTTGGAAGAAGACTCTGAACTCGCAGCCGCCTTCAGCCTTTTCACTATACTAGTTCCATGGGAGGCGACCGGTGACACTTGCTTCGAGAAAAGCTTGGGGAGCTCAAGGGCCGTACGCTCCCCGCCCACAGCATTGCCTAGAGAATGCTTTAATTCTTTCATAACTCCGCCAAAAAGATCCTGGATCTGACTTTGCTGTAGAACGAAAGACATTTACATTTACATCAGTCAGTAAGCCAAGAGAAAAAACAAGCTCTCACCTTCTTCTTGGCTGCTTGAACACTCGCTTTGATGGCTGCTTCTGTTGCTGTGGCAACATCTTTATCGTATAGTAGCGGGTAAGAGCCCGGTAACCTGTTCCAAATGTTTTAGCTATTAAAGAAACTTTCCACTAACACACCTCATGTCGTTTTCATCTGCAACGACTGACATAAACAAAACCTCCTGATCTGCATCAACCTGTCAAAAGACCATTCAGTATGGAGATGATGGAAAATGATAGTCGACATACTGCAGTTACACGTCCATTGGATGCTACAGCAAAAGTTCTGAAGAAGCTTGGACTGCTGCCAAATTCCCAACGTAAAGACTCACTTAGCGAGGTTAATTTGATAACCTCCAACGCTGGTAACGACCTGCTGGCACAAAGAACATTAAAACAATGCATTACAACCCTGGCAACGTTACCGGATTTCAATATCACCGGTATCATATAAAAGAAGAAGACCGGAGCCGTGTATTCCGCTATCAAATACCGATGCCGCGCAGCAAGGCTTTTCAAGTCTTTCTTTTCTAATTGTTGTTCGCATTCCCTGAAACAAAGCATTTGGAACAAAACCTTTGAATTCTTTAGAATAACGAACCTGAAGAACAGATGAAATAGAATACACGCGCAATGAATCTTCAGAGCATAATAGTACGAGGTTGTCAGATCCTGTCCAGTCGTCGTCCTGTTTCACATCCTCCTCTATTTCTTCGTTCCCTTCGGCAGGTTCAATATGGCTACCTGAGCTGTCAGTCTCAATAACAGCCATTACAACGGACCGTTTAGAGGCTTTCCTTGAAGGAGCTCGAGATACTGATTTTACTGACGATCCTGATGGATCTGATTAAGAGGACATACAATTCAGCATCCAGCTAGCTTTTGGAAAAAAGGGAGAAAGGCGTACCGAGAACATGTAGAGAAATCGCAACGGAAGGATTATTAGGACGACCAGAGCCAATAGTCTTCCCGCTGCTGCCATCAATTGCAGCAATACACGCATCCTTCAGTAACACAAGCACAATAGTGTCTTGTTTGAACGATTTTGGGTCGCGTGCTAGAAGACTTATAAAACAAGACGAGACAATTCCTGAGGGACTCCCACATTTCCCATGGAAACGAACCACGCAAGCTTCGATATCGAACAAGGTAACCTGTTTCAAAAACCCGATCAGTCGTAAAAACAATAAATGCTTGTGCATACCAATCCATTGTCATCGCCAATTGCAATACAACGACAGTCGGTTCTGATAGTTAAGCTTCTGATTGGTGCTGTGTGGAGGTTTAGAATAGCAAAACACTGAAACCCAGCAGAATACTCTATTTCTCTTTCTGCAGGCGGAAGGTGATTCTGTAAGCTTTGTGACGCAAAAACAAATTTTACTTGTCGATGGCTCGTTCTTGCTGATAAAATGGCACGTCCCTTCCCCCGATTCGCCTTGCATTGTATATACAAAAACCTGCGCGTGGTGAAATTCATATCCATTGGGTAATTCTCCAAAAAGAAACTTACAAGACCAGCCTCGTCACCAGCTGCTAGCAGCCCAACCGTTGGACAGAAGTCAATAGCACATGTGGAGGCTAATTCCGATCCTACCAGCTCCTGTACAATGGTTTTCAGCGTTTGGAGTTACACAAATCATTCGCTTACTCTATTATTCACCGACGCCAAAAAATAGAGACATGGTGTTGAAGCGTCCCAAACGTTGATCAGACCATTTTCATGACCAGTTATGTAGAGACAGGGTGGCGACCTTCTGTCAACGGTAGTAGAGCTGAAGTTTCCGCCACTGACAGGCCATCTCATTCCTGATGGAAACGCAGGAGGCACGTTACCCTTCAATAAGCGTGGAATCTGATCCATAAAAAGATTAGGCATACATCATAAAGCAAGAAGAACGAGCCTACCTTCAGTATAATACTTGCAACTATACTTTGATCTGGAATGGCCAACAGTCTCGCACACGTGACTGTAGAAAACGTCAAAGGAAGCTGGAAGGGAACAGGTTGAGCAGGAGGCTTCTCAGCTTTTATAGAGTCGTAGATGTTGGCTTCCTCATACACATCCAAAGAACCAGGTGATGAAAGCACCAACATCGCTCCGTTCCCGATACTCGGGCCACTAGGCAATATAATCACGTCCGCAAAAGGTCCACGAAGTGGGAGTTGCATTTGACAAGCAGGATCTGTTACAGGTAAGACCTGCAAGAAAGGAAGATAAGAAAGATGCAGGCACAAAATGTAAAGACAAACCGTCACAACTTCCGCCATTCCCATTTCCTGTCCTCCAAACACGTAAAGGTAACCACTAGGCCCCTTGTCACTCTTGACAGAAGTAGACCACCTCATCACCACGACCGGCATTCGAAATTCCTCCGAAGATAAAATGATCTTGAGAACTGGTGAGCTCGAAACGTCTGGTTTTTCTGCTTTTCCCTTGGGATTGACAGGGATGTTCCACAACCAGATATCACCATCTGTGTAGCCGCAAGCGAGTAGCGTGCCAGACGGGCATGCCCAGCACGCACAGCACGGTTCCTTCTCTTCCTCGTCACTACCTGAAGATTTCCCGCCAGAAAGTTTTCTCTGCTGATCTTCGGTTCCTCCGCGGATGGCAAGGACTTGAGCTTCATGAAGTCCCCACAATACAATAACACCGTTCCCATAGACAATAACAACCCTGGAAAAAGAAAAATCAGGACGATATCAGTCCCAGAAACAACCAGAAACTATTAGTTTTTTCTTTTTCATTTCTCTTGCCTGCTATGAACAGCATCGGGTTGAGGAAGAATGCTCACCACCGACGGTGCACTTGAGTCGTCCGTATCTATCAATCCACCTGCAATCGAATAGATAATAAAGAACTGCTAAAACATTTTCGCTAGAAACGTACTTAATGTCAAATGGGCAGGAACTGTGTATTGCATCTCGACAAAACAACGATCCTCGTTGTTGAAATGGAGTACAGAAACCTGCCCGGTTTCATCTCCAACGTACCTGAAAGAACATATAAACAACACCAAGTTAATACAACATGAGATACCAGACAAAAAACTCATACATAAATGCTGTTGCTTGAATAACTGCGAACGCAGTGATGTCAGCTTCCCACGTTTTAGACGAGACAAGCTCCTTTGTACTCAAGTCCCAAACCTGTCCAAATACCAACGAACATACTCTCAAGAACAGCAAGAAAGGTAACGAAGAAAATCCAAAGCTACCTCGATTTCGTTGCGAGTTGTGACATGGATCAATCGTCCTTCATTGTTAACGAACTGTGAAAAGGGACTCATTTCATGGCTAAACAACAACACACCCAAATAAACTACCTCGAGATATTTACAAGGCGCATTCGCGGGCGATTTGAAAAGAACTTCAACTCCTTCACGGCCAAAGATTTTGATCCTTCCATCCCTGTGCCAAAATAAAATCCGAGAAGACTAACGAAAGAGATCGCTTGCATGCTGACAAACCTTGAGGCAATTGCCAATAAACGCTGGCCGGGCTCATACGCGAGGACAGAGGCCGAGGCAGGAATCCCGTGATGAACAGTTAGTCTCAGATCCACATGCGTGGGCTTGAGACTATTCACTGATTTCGGGGATGATGCCTGTAATGCAGATTCCAATCAAACATTGCCTCGATCCGGGAGGCTGGAGCTTACCTCGCCACTGCCACTGGATTTCTGCTGGATCACGCGCTTAAACATCGCTGCTACGAATCAGGCATCACCTGAGCCGATCCATCTTGATTTCACGGGCAATGCGGCCCTGCTGCCACAAAACCCTAGCCCCGGATCGGCGAGCGATCCAACACGCAATATTACCACGCAGATCGATGCGCGCAGCGACGAGATCCAGCGCGATCAACAGGAGGAGGCGCCAGAGCGGATTTGGGGCGAAGAGAGCGCCACAATGAACGAGGAAATGAAGAGAAATGTCGACGGCGTCCATTGGTGAGGCCAAGGCTAAAAGACCTAAGACTTACGAAATTTGGGCCATATGGTCCATTCAACTATTGTACGAATATTCGCATCGTGCTTAGTTATTCTCTCTAAAGCAAAGCCAATCGAAGCCGTCCACCCGGAGCCAATCGCGTCCGTCTCATTTTCATGAAGCATATTCTTTAATCACGTTCTTCAACGCCTCTGACAAAGAAAAGAATTCTGACCATCACCTAGGTACGTGCATGCATGAGTGCAAAAATGAGACAACATAGTGCTTAGACTCCATTCTTTTGGCAACGGGCAAATCACTGTCCGCCACCTTTTTATAACACGCAAAAATAAAACTATAAGACCAGTTTGGAGTTACTACACACATACCAACACGGTTTTTGTCGACTCCCACAGGTGGACGCGGTGAGTTGTGCCAGCCAAGGTTTTTTCTCACGAAAGTCTCACATCAACGCTGCCCAGCCAATCTTGGGCCGCCACCTTTGGAACGCCCAAGTCTTTCTTTAAAAGTCCTCACTACTAGATTAAAGACGGGTTAAGGTGGAGCTGGATCCAACTCAGCTTCGGTGCTGTGTTAACGCGCTTACTCCGCGGCGATGCGAGAAACAGTATAAATGCCCGGCACCACCCTCACTCTCAACCATTCAAGCGATCTTCAGGGTCTCTAGGTGAAAGTGAAGTTTTCATTCGAGCGATCAATCTCTTATAGAGTGTTTCTCTGTCGCGATCTTGATTTTGCTTTCGTTTCTAGCAAAATGGGTGTTCATGATACGGTGTTTCTGTCCGCTACTACTGCTGTGCTTCTGGTTTTGATGATCCAGAGCTCGCTCGCTGCTCGTCTCCCTATCAAGTCGGACGTTCCATTCGCCCAAAACTACTATGTGAGATGGGCCGACGATCACACGAGAATGCTCAATGGCGGCACCGAAATGCATCTTGTTCTCGACAAGGCATCAGGTAAATCACGCCCTCTTGATCGAAGCTAGATGCTCATTAATCGATCGATGGTTTTTCTTTTCTTGATACAGGTGCTGGATTTGGATCCCGGACCAAATACTTGTTTGGTCATGTTAGCATGAAGATCAAGCTGGTCCCAAAGGACTCCGCCGGGACCGTCACGGCATTCTACATGTCCTCGGAGACCGACAAGCACGACGAGCTCGACTTTGAGTTCTTGGGCAACACTTCGGGGCAGCCATATATCGTCCAGACCAACGTTTTCGCCAATGGCGTTGGAAACCGGGAGCAGCGACACTACCTCTGGTTCGACCCCACTCAGGACTTCCACAGCTACTCCTTCCTTTGGAACAAGCAGCAGATCATGTAAGTTAGTCCCTCTATATCGATCGATCATTGCTGAACCTGTGGTTTTGGCCCCTCAGATTCTACGTGGACGATGTCCCTTTGCGTGTCCACAAGAACAACGAAGCCATTGGGATCCCATTCCCGAAGACCCAGCCCATGGGGATCTACTCGAGTCTGTGGAATGGAGACGACTGGGCTACTCGCGGCGGCCTGGAGAAGATCAACTGGGATCACGCTCCATTCGTGGCGGCGTACAAGGGATTCAGCGTGGATGCTTGCGCCGGGGGTGTGGAGTCGTGCAGCGCTCCCAGGGGCAACTGGTGGGAGCAAGAGGCATTCCAGAGCACCGACGAGGAGACCAAGAGCAAGCTCAAGTGGGTCAAGGACAACTACATGATCTACAACTACTGCACCGACAGCAAGAGGTTTCCCACAACTCCCGCGGACTGTGGCCAGTTTTAACTTTCGAGCGAGATTCTAGGACGGGAATTTCTTGTAAATGGAAAGAGATTAGCATCTTGGTTGTATAGACATTCTTTTCATTCGAAGACTTCTAGCTTTTACCAGCAGAGAACGAAATGTAGATCTAAGTCGAAAATTTCCTCAGTTCTTGTTGATGCTGATAAAGAGGATTCGGGATGCTTTGACCCGCAGTCAACGGACGGTCCATTGGCGAACGTAGTCCAGATCTAGCGAACAGATCAAGAGTTACCTAGAGATTTTATTCATGTAATGTAATTAAGCAGGGAATAACTCTCGTGGTTGTAGTTGCGCTTGAAGGTGAGACAGATCAAACTTTCTGGAGCATCTGCTGGAACTGCCTCCTCGTATGCTTATCTGTGCAAGAGACGAATCTACTGGCAGTGGTACAGCTTCGGCACAGGCATTCTGAAGACCTGTTTGTATTTTGGAAGCCCAAGTGTATTTTTGCTGGAGTTGGTGATGTCACATTTGAGCTCCGGGATAAGATGGCAGTTCCTGCAAGGCCCCTTTCTCCATACCACCAGCTTAGAGACTCAGGCGTTTCCGGTTCCGTTCGCCCTGTACGAGGTTGCCAAATCAAAACCGGGAGAAGATATTTAGGCCTGCAGAGCCTGGTGAGAACTGTTTGGAGATTGTACCTTTCGTTCTTCGCCTAATCTTACCGCCGATGGCTGGTGGCAGCGTAAATAACTTCCACCACCTTTATGATAGGACGTGATGGCCTTTTTCTTCGTAGCAGAAGCCTATCAGGGATGATAACGCCGGTGAAGGTTCCAGTGGCATCATGCGGCATGATTTGATTGCAAGGTTTGCTGGGATGTATGCACTCTTGAGAGCTGAAGAGAAGGGGACGCGAAGCAAAGGGGACCCCGGGAAGAAACTCGTGGATAAACTGGAGTGGACTTATGAATCATCTATCCCCTACATCTTGGGATATCATGCAAGGGAGTACGTGGTCACCTTTTGCTGCATGAGATGCGTCAACGGAATCAACCTCAGAGATGATCTTGTCACGCTCAATCTGTTTTCTGCAAGAGACTGGGTGGAGCAATTCATCGTCTGCATGAACATGACCAGGCTTTTGATAACGCTGAGAGACTTGTTCATCTCAGCTCAAGCGCCACCTGATATAGCTGAATATGACCAAGAGAAAGAAGGTGGCCAAGGTTTACAGCAAACTAAAGGTTTTTGAGCGTGTGATAAGCATGTACTGGGAGCTGGTTGGCTGCCCGTTTGCAGAAGTTATGCTCCATTTCAACCTCGAAGAGTCTAGAATTGTCTTTGAGAGGGCTTTCGCTTGCAAGCCAGAGTCACTGAAACAACTGGTGGCAGTGGTGTGGCTGGACAGCGAGGCATTGATCCACAGGGACATCAGATGGGACAATGTAGCACGTCGATACGATACTGCTGTGGATACTGCTGGATTTCGATGAGGCTGCGGCAAGCCCAAGCGAAGGAGCAGTTCATCATCTCAAGCCAGAGACGCATGCACCGGAATGAGGGTTGGAATTCACACCACGAGTGTTGATGTTTGGGGTGTAGGGCATCTCATCTTTTCTTGGAGCGCAGCGGGTGATTTGCATGGATTTCTGGTGGGGCTCATGAATCGCTGCTTGCAGGCTGTCCCGCAGTTGAGGCCTACGGCAAAAGAGTGCTTGGCGCTGCTGGAGCCACATTATCGGAACTATTTACAGAAAGATTGTTCTTTATCGTTTTAAAATATTGGAATATTATACGTTTATAACCTTTTGCTTAAATGTCCAAAACATTTGAGGAGTAAGCTGCATCTCCAGATTTTATGCGCGCCGCCGAGCAGTGCTTCTTTCTTCTGCGAAGGCTACGCCACGCATTTGGTCAATGCAGCAATTCGACTTGCAGAATGAGGTAAAGTCACCTTTCTCCTTTTTGAAATCTCTTTCAGACAGGACTACAGACCTTGGATAAAAAAACGGCACTGGCGGCTGCAACAGGGGCTGAGTACGCAACAGCGATCCAATACTGTACATCTCACGGGCAAGATCTAAGTAGTTGTTCAACTTGTCACGTATCAGGTGGCAGGCGCATATGGCCTTCCCCCGTCTCCTGGTAGACGTCTTCTTATCTTCTATCAAGCGATTCTCCCATATCTAGGAGAACGTCTCAGGTATTCAAGGAGAAGATTAGTTGTGCTCATGCGACGTGTGCATGCATCTCTCAGCTGCAAGAGGAATCCTGTTAGCAAACGAGGAGGGGAGACACGCACGTTCCTCGCTGGTTTACTGCCCTGCAACGCTGGTCTGTGGTATGAATAAATTTATCGTCACAACTGCTTGCTAAGCACTTTTAACAGCAGATTCTACCTTCCTTGCAACTACTTCTTTCTCAATGGTAACTTGCAAGGTCATTTCTATACACTTGAATTCAAGAATATATTATGATCTTCACAAACGAGTGACTCAAATCCGTTACATCCATATGGGGAAGGCAGCATTGCGTACCAAGATTGATATTAGAGCCATGATTGTAGAAATTTGCAGGTACTACAGCAAACTCGCCAATATGGTTTCTGGATTTCGTATGGTTTTTCATATGTTAAGTTGTATGGTTTTGGTTTACACATTTGGTATGTTTTTTAATATAAATTCATCATTACAAATAGAAATTTGTACTCTAGTATTTTCTTACAGTTTATTTATAACTTAAATACTATTTATTTTTAATTAAATATAAAATATAATTTACTCTATATAGTTATTGTAAATAGTTTTTTAAAACTCATATAGTATATAATTATTCATCTAGATTATAGTGTAAATATTTTTTGGTTTACTTAAGAAGTATATATAGAATATTCCTGAATATTTTAGGATATTCTATCACCTATTCATTTAGATTAATCGAGTATTTATAATTTATAAATTTTCCTAGTATATTCAAGTTTATTAGACCATCTAATGGTTGATATGCAATAATATTAATCTTGTGTTTATAATATATAAATATATTAATAATTATTTTTAAATTATATTAATAAATAATAATTCTAAATAGGAATAACACTACTATTAAGCAAACTAAGAATTGCTGCATATTTCAGTTATTAGAAACATTGCACAATTTATGAAAGACATGGACAGAATTGACTACTAAAGAAACTATTATTGTTTACAGGTGTAAATATTTTTGTAAAATTCATATACGCTATAATTATTCATAGAGATTTTAATGTGCATATTTATTCTTATCATAGTCCACTGTCTATCCATATTGGGCCTAAGTTCTTTTATGCTCAATTTTAATAGATTTCCATTTAAAACAGTTTAGTTAACATCACTCAGCAAGAATTACACAGATGATCTAATTCTAAGCATATCAAGTTCTTAGCGACTAAAATCTACATAATTTTGAACTATTAGAACCACTTTTGAAAATTGATAGTAAATTACATAAAAAAAACTATAGTCATAGTATGAAAACTATATGTATAATAAGATATTGTTGACTTGTGAAAAAATAGTACCTAAAAATTGATAGTTAATTTTAGCCTAGGGTTTAGTATGTTTGCAGATGTATTTTTAAAAAAGCCAAATCTTGAAGTTTTCCTCTTGTCCCACACCAGAGCAACACCTATGTCTAATTATAGAAATTGATGCTTAAAAATGAGTACCACCCTAAATATGAACTACTTGTTTTGTTGTCTCATTATACCACTTACTTTAGCTTGGTTTATTCAAGTTCATAGTTAGAAAATTTCATGCCCTGAATTTCCCTCTTATAATATCTTTATAGAATTTGTGGACATCAGAAGAGACTCTCATACTGTCTTCATTTAAACCGAAAGAGCCAAGATTTCTGACTTGGTAAACCATGCTTCCTTTTGAAGACAATGATTGTTGATCACAGTTGATTGAGTTTGTTTCAAGAGCTCATGATTTATAACATAACCCAACTTGACCTTTGTTATTGTTGACCTAAAGCCCATAACTATAAATTTTCTTTGTTGACTAGAAATCATATACCTTGGGAATAACTGAGCACCTATTGCACTAGTTTGAAAAGCCACAAGGACTAAATCTCTTGCACTTATTATGTGAGAAGGTGCCTTAACCTATTTATCCCTTGTTTGTAAAATGACTTGAAACTCAAACTCTATATACCTATGGTTCCCTCCTTGTCAATCATCTAGAAGTCTACTCTACCCATCTCGTGCTGATAAATGCAATAAACTACAATACAAGTCATATGAAATCTATGCTTAGCTCTATATGTCTAAAATCACATATGATTTAGTTATTTACTTTCTGTGTCATTTTTATAACCTTTGCCACCATCACCAGCAACATTTCTACCATCTATTGTGGAGTTTTAGTTACCAAAAAACTCATAAAAGATTTATGTTATCTATGAAAAAGTAATCACTTGTTTAGGTTGGAGAGTTGAAAACTTTTTTAGTCTACCTCCCTTGCTTTGCTGTTCTATCTATTACTTTCAGATTGCATTTATTATCAATATGACATTGAAATAGCACATTCACCAAATAATTATCTAAAATATCAACACCAAATGAAACACAATCACTTCATTCTCCTCAATCTTTTTAGTAAGTTTTTCCTCTGTTATTTAGAAATTATTCACACCAAATGAAAAATAATATAATGGACATGTACCTTGAAATAGAAATAGATAGACAAGTTGGTGGAGCAACTTTACTACCTTCTATTTATTATATTTCTAGAAATTAAGGGTATATACTATTCTTGAAAGTTTGTCTTTCTAACCATCAGAAGTGGAAGTTCATTCTCGTAAAAGTCTAAAAATGTATTTTTTTCATTTGTTTTATGTTTATGAGGATTTCTTTATGTAGATCATTATCAGGAAATATTGTAAATGTTAAATTTCTAAAGGAATTCCTAGTTACCAGCTGAGATAAAATCTCATCAAGCTTTATTGGCCATTCCAGAGGTTAACATAGGTAGAGACCGAAATATAACAAGGCCTATTTATTCTCTTTGTTCTTAGATAATAACACAATTTTTTTCTTTGTTGATTTTTGTTTGAGAGAACTCTACAAACCTTTGACTAGCATTTTAGAACTTGATATTTTCTATTTTTAAAGTTGTATTTTGCAATTTTCTAGGCATCTATTTTCCTAGGAATTTCTTGTATTGTATATTACAGCCTTCTTAGCTTATGAGGAATTTTTTTCTTATAAGTTTCTTGTACTTTCATTGCAAGCTGATTAAAATAAACAACTCAAGTACTTAGTTTGTGGCAATAGTCTTTACACAACAAGTATATGTTTGTACTTTAGAATTGCTTTGCACTTTTGGGGTTTTCATTATCAATCAGGAATGATGTTGGTGCAGGTTTGAGTAACTATATATAGTATGATCTGCTTGCAAAGTTTTCTTGTCTATGTCCATTTTTAAGAGCTGAAGATAAGCAAAACTTGTGGAGAAAATTGGAGTAGATTTTTTAAATATCCCCTATATTGTGGGATATTATGTGAGTCAAGTAAGTATTTTAAGTAAGAATCTGCTATTAGTATGTAATATTAAATATGACATTCATTAGCCTGTGTATGATGAGGCCAAGAAAATGTGCTAGAGATTTCTCTTGGAAAATGAGAAGTAATTATCCTAGAATTTATCCTTTTTTATAATTTAGTTTGCTTTATAACTGTCTGAAGCAACATTCTTTGGCAAAGTTGGCTTGCATGAAACCATGAACTCAAATATAAAAATTCAATAATTATTTATTAGAAAATAAATTAATGATAATAATTAGTATATAATACTTAGTAGTGGTCTTATAAAAGAACACACACTCACTATCAAGTCTTTGAGAGTCAGCAAGTGTTTTTTAAGTTAAAACATAGTTTATATCTTTCGAAGAACAAGATTAGCTACACAATAATAATAATGACTTCAATTAAACTTAATTTTAAGTTTTATATTTTATTCAATCATATCCATCTAAAATTATTATAACTAGCAATAGTTTTACACGATGCATGTATCTCCTACATATGCTAAGTTATCTTGCTCAATCCAAGTTCCTATGTCAAAATGCACTGCAAAATTATTTGAAGGAGTTGAAAAATCAATCCAATCTATATACCATCCAGCATTAGATCCTGTATTATCATGTGATACTATAACTTTACATATTTTATCATATTCTGATAGACATGTACCTTGAACATTGAATACATCAGTATTACAACGTTCAAAGTCATCATAATTTTTATGATCTATGTTTTGGTAAGCCAAAATGACTCCTGAAAGTGAAGTAAATATTATATCCACATTTGCATTAGTACCCGCTAACCAAACACATCCAGTTTTGATTATAATTTTATACTTACACTAAAAAAAAACATTAAGCTTGAAAAGTTTGAAACAAATTTACCTGTGCTAAAGAAATTTCAACATAAAGAATAAGATAAAAAGTTGGTAATATAGTAAATTTCCTCATCAAATTTCTATCAACTATTAAGATAATTTTAAACCTTTTTTACTTTGTAAATTATATATCCAAAACTTTTAAAAAGTTATACATTGTGATGATCAATATAAAAAGTTTGATAACTTTAACTAGCTAAAATTAAATGTAAGTTTTATCACTACTTATAATAAGATAAAATATTATAAACTCCATATGTAAGGTCTATAAATATTTGTACATATATACACTAATTATAGACAATCTATTTAGCATTGAAACTTGTTCCTGTATATAAGCAGGGGTCTAAACCCTAATTAATATACTTATTCCTATATCCACATTGGTGGAAGTGAAAGGCACTATAATTTATCCTTAGAGGGTAAAGCTTTTTTGTAGTGCTTTGCTATAGTGTTTGGGATTATATTGTTATTTTCATGCCTTCATTCTTTTTTAGATCTAGATTTGTATTATCTTTTTGCTAGATATAGAACTCTAGTTATTGTTGTGGTTAGGTTTGTTATTCTATTTGATCTTTATTGCATTTCCTTCTACTATACTACATTGTCATCACAAAAAAGTATATCATTTGAGATTGTTGATGCTACTCCATTGTATTGAGCTTTTGGTATTATGAAGTGTGATTATATTAGTGTTGTACCTCTTTAGTGTGTTGTTATCTCTAACTTCCATGGGATGTGATTATATAACTTTTTCTATTCTCAATGTCCTACCGTCTTTTATTAATGTGGAGTGTGATTGATTAGAGGGTTATGGATGATCCAATCTAGTTCTTAGAGAATGTTTACATCAAATTTATGGGAAGATGATATGTACAAGCTCAAATGGAT